ACATAGACTATGTATGTTAGCCGGCTACTCGTGTAGACGGACATTATCTGTGGTTGCGTGTGACCTCTACGCGTCTCTGTCATATCGCCTATGAGTGAGATAGACGTATATATTTGAAGTTTAAACTTGTCCGTCAACGCTGCGGTATTCAAGATGTCGATCGGGAAATGTCACTAAAGTCACATTTTCCCGCGTAAAGGTTTTTCGACGTTTGTAAAATATGTTTTTTTTTTGAAATTAGTATAGTTTTAATTATTGTTAATTTGAATAACTTTTCATATTTTTGTGTGATTAGAAATACCACTGCCTTTGCAATTAAAATCAAATTATGTTTAATAGAAAAATCCTATTTCTTTTGTACTTTTTAATTCGTACTAAAATTTTATTAACTTCAATTTAGATTTCTTTTTTCAAGAATCATTAGAAAATTACCTTTTAATTATATTTTGATTGATTATTAATTTAAGTTTCAAAAATAAATTGTAAATTTTTGGAAAGTAATTTTGAGGTTATCATAAAATGGCATGAAAATGTCCTTATCTTTATTTATGTCAAATATTTCAAAAGTGCAAAATAAAATTTCATGAAATAAATATTCGCTTACACCTTTATTAAATACAGAGAATATTTTATATTCCTGTGAAATTTATTTTTTTTAAATTTAAACCGAACGAGATCTAATTTGTCAGATTTATGGCGGTTACAAAATTGCCATTATGAAAATTAAAAAAAAAACATAGATTTTTTTCATACATGCCTGGCATTTTGTACACTGCCAAATAAAACTACTTGAAAGAAGAAAAAAATGGCAAATTTTTTTTTTTTATATTTCCATTTATATGTTACTTTAACGGAATATGTAATAACATATTTTACAGTCATAATTTTTAATATTGAATTAATTTTTATATAACTTAATAACATTAGAAATTGTAAATATAATTTTAGATGACGATTTGCCGGATTTTATAACATACTTGTGTTTTATTAAACAACAAAATGATTAGTAAAAAAAGGCAAATCGCTTTTAGTACTTTAATATCATTTATTTTAAGGCAAATGCGCTGTGAATATAAATACAGGCCTACACTAAGACGGTAAAAAAAATTGATGTAAAAAATTGGAAATTTGACCGTCAAAGGAGTCTTTAAAACAAATTAAATTGGTGTGATAAGTGTCGATTAATTACTTGTTAGTCTGTTAAATTCATTTCATTTAGTATTTATAAAAAAATGGGGGTAAAAATTACACCTTGGTTGAAATCTTTTTTTTTATAATTTACTAAGCCGCTAAATTACCGTCTTAGTGTTGTACCTGATTTATGACAATACAGTAGTAATAGAACTATCACGTACAAAATAATCCTAATCTGTTGATTTTCTGTCTGCTCGTGGAAGTTGGTTTAGCTTCTAAATATAATTATTTAAAGAAAAAAACTTGATTATTTTCGTGGATTATGAAAAAATTACGAAAAAATGTTGGTTTAAACATAATAAAATTGGAAAAATCAATTTTTTTCAAAGTTTGGTATTACTATAAAATATATTTTTGTCTATGAATGCCAAGTTATACGCTTTTTATATTGTGGTAAGTGAAGAAATGAAATCTTATATGCATTGTTTGAAATTATGCAATTTTTTTTTAATTTTTTTTTTTCAAAAATACATGTAAGCCAAGCCAGCTTAGATAAAAACTAAAGGATTTTCAAACATTTTTGCTCGCGTTGATTTTAAACTCCTCTCTATTCGCGAATTAAATAGCAATTTTATAAGGAACGACAGGGTTGAGCTTTAAGTCATGTTTTCTTTAAATTTAGCTAAATTAGCGTTCACAGAGCAGACAATGAGAAATTTAAATTGTTACATTATCTATAGTAATTGTTATTTTGACTCCGAAGTTCACTGCATTTGTAGTTGCGACGTACGTTTTCTTTTGTGCGTAGGGACAGCCAATGGGAACGCTCGCTAACACGCACACAAACGTATCAACCAACCAGAAGACGTGAGACGATAAATCTATTTGTCATTACCGTAGTGAAGTGACCAGATTTTATTTGGATGTTCGTAAAAATTGCTACAGAAGCATTTTTTGGTAATATTTTCGAAGTGAGCAGAAAATTACACTTTTCATAAATACTCATTTTTTTATTGAATACTTAATTTTATACCATGATTACATTCAAAGGTTTTTTCCAATTTAAAAGTATGTCAGTAAGTTGTATTAAATGATATAATTTTTATGCCATTTACTTAATTATTCGACTTAGTTGATTTTTTAGGGATTTTTGAGATCATTCTACAGAAAGTGTTTAAACCAAATAGTTGAAATACGTAGTTATTTAAAATGATAAAAAAAATATAGTTAATATTACTCGTTGGCTGGCTCTGAACTGATTGTGAACCTCCAAGTATTACTAAAATACAGTATTCGGTGGATAGTTCCAAGCTTATATTTTTTTGTATCGATTTCAGCACTTAAACCTTTTTTCCACTTAGCACTTAGCCGTGTGCGACTAACTGCTGAATGGAAAAAAAACACTTAGCTTGGTCTCGGTTCAGCAGTTTTGTCTATAAAACTATATTCAGACAAAACAAGACAACAGTGGTAGAGCCCGCTTTAACATCTTCGCACGAATCGGCCCGGCTCGCCCGGTGAAATACCACGACCACACAAAAGACAGGCGTCAAGTGGAAGCAATTCCAATTACAGTCTGATGAATGTGCGTCCCGGAGGCCTAATTTAGTCCTTTTTCCCTTCCCACCTTTTTTCTTATAAGGAAAGGATGGGATAGAAGTGGACTTTCCGGATGAGAGGATGCATGGGAAGGGGAAAATATTTTCTTTTTGTGCATCCTCTCCTCCGTCGATTAAAGGTAGGCGACACATATGCAATTGCGTATGCCTATGGGCAACTGTCACTTCGCTACTTCAGCGATTTCAGGTGGCCGCTCGCTCTTTTGTCGCCTTATGATATAAAAAAAGACAATCTTGTGACCACTATCTATCATCAATTATTAACAGAAACCTATTTTGTCACATGACGAAAACTTTAAAGGTTGTCAATAGTTTTTGTCTGAATATACTTTATAAATATTTGGTAAATTGTGAGAGAATTTACTCACCTTTTATGACAAATTTTCTACTGTTTTTGTATAGGGTTTGTAATTTTAGCGTGAGGAACGTAGCATCGTCATTTCTTCTAGTGATACAAAATTTTTGTACGTTTTGAAACATGCTGTATATAAAGTGTAACATTTTATCATTGTACAGTCATTTTATAAAGGGAAATTATTATTTGTTAGACTAATCGTGCATTGGATATACTTAATCTATGTATTTGTATGACGGTGTTACGTGGGTATTGCTAAATTTTACGTACACAATGTAAATCTACCTTTAGTTCTATATATAGTCTTAACAGAGAAAAACTTAACTATGTTGATTTCTCTTATTGTAAATAGTCTTCATATCAAGTGTAAAATCTTTAAAACAAGTGATTCATTTACAAAATGAGATTAAAGCGTGTTTCTTTTGCCAATCCAACGAATTTGACATTTATCATTGGAATTTAATTGTCGATTTGTGTTTGAAGAATTCTATACTTAAACGTGAATTTCCACTGGCAAAAGTCCTGTAAAAACTTGTTTGTAAAGGTGTTGCCCCAGTGGAAATGCCTTTTAAAGAATATAAATACGTGTACAAATATCTCACCAATTTATCCGTAAAGTGATATGGAAACTGCAGCCGTTTTTTTAAATTTCGAACGATTGTTATAATTTCCGCCAATCAGCTGACTGTATTACCATATTTGGCGCCACCTGTCACTTTACAGAAAGTTTGGTCGGTATATATTTCTCGTACTATGTCATTTAAAACTCTAAAACGATTTAAACATACTCCCAAATATTGGACAATTGTATAAATAAGTAAACATAACACAATGCGTAGCACAATGTAAAAAAAAATAATATTTTTTTATTCATCCATCGTGATCCTTGTTATCTTATTTATGCATAACATAGACAAACAATGTGATTTATGCGTTTAATGATTTATTTCAATAAGCACTAATGTGAAAATTGAGGCAATTTCAAATTTAGCTCATACATTTTTAACACTATGATAAATTCTATGTATATACAAAGCGTCGGTGGCTCAGGGTTTAGCACTTGACTTGCAATCTGCAGGTCCCGGGTTCCCGCTATGTAGCAATGTGTTTTTTCGATTTCTGACTAACATATGTACATTTATCCGACGTTCTTACGGTGAAGGAAAACATCGTGATGCTGCACATATCTGAGAAGAAATTCAAAGATATGTGTGAAGTCAACCAACCCGCACTTGGCCAGCGTGGTTGACTATGGCCTAATCACCCATAACTTTGGGTAGGCTCCGAGCCCCTCGGCGATGATGATGATGACAGTCAACTTTTTTAATTATATTTTTATTGTATATCAAATTATTAAACAAGATTTAATAGTGGAAACTTTCTAATAAATCAGACAATTATAGTACATTTGATTATTTGTATTTATTGCTATTTACGATAAAAAAAATGGATTGTAATTTGGAAAGATAAATGTTTTATTTTTCTGTTTAAATTTGAAATTGCCTTGACCATTAGTTTATTTCTCAATAGAACCAATGTAAACTAGCCGTAAAGGCTACTTGTGTCGAGATAAAGAAATTGTTAAACAATTTTATGGTCTCATGATGATCAAAGTTCAAAACGATTTGTAAAATAGCAATATTAAATCGATTTTAAAACTATTTCGTTTTCTTTTATTTATTCTAATCATGAAACTTAATGTTTTTTCCTTTAAATTAATTCTTATATAATTTAAAGGCATGTCTTAAAACATTACTGGAAGCGATGTTGTCTATGAAGTTGTAAGGAAAACATTTTGGAACTTACTAAATTTAGTTGGTTTTTTCTTTGCGTTGCGAAGTGAACAGCACTATGCCAAGCCATTGAAAGTGGGGATAATAAAAACAACTGAATTACTTCATCAAACCTTTAATTTCAATAATCTGTTTAAATTTTGGTTTCTATGAAAATTGTTCACAAAATCACATTTTTACATTGTCTACAAACATTTCATGAAGGCTTTTTATTGATGCAATGTCTTTCTAATGATTTGTACATTTTCTGCCAAAAAAAAATGTAAGATCGTGTAGGCCATATATTGCAAGCATCAGGGTATTTTTAAATATAACAATAAGGGAGTATAACTCCAGTTTGTCATTATATTTTTTATTTTATTTTTTAATTACTCTCAGTAAACGAAAATTGTGTGCATGATTGAAAAGAAAACAATTTTTTTTTTATAATAAATAGTTTGTGGTGAAACTATGAATGAAGATAATGAATTCAAGATGTTAGATTTTTTTTTCTATTTGTATTTTAGAAAACTATTGTAAAAGATGGATTTTCACAATAAATTATAATACAATTAATCTATGTCAAAGAATTTGCCAAAGAATAATTGTTTTATTGCATTTTTTTTCTTAAATGAATTATGTAGGTTTGAAGCATATTTTAAACTAATTAAACCATGGATTACTTCGTATATACACAAACTATCTCATTCAAAATATTGATGTTTACACAACCTTTTTTATGTACACAAAATAGGCTTACTAAGTTAATTATTCGCTCACTGGACTCCCGGGCAGGGTATTCTGTATTTTTGTTTATCAAAATTATTCCTTATTATAACAATTACGATTTTCTAAAACGAGTAACATGCTGTTGAAAAGTTTTAAGAATTTGTAAAATATAAAACATGTGACTTTTCAAAATCTTATCAGAAATAAAGGTATACAATGAGTAAAATTTAACCGGACGAAAGTATTTCTACCTTCTAAAAATAGTATTTTCAAGTCCTTAAAATCAAGCAATATAATTATCTCAAATACCATTACTTTTTTTATGTTTTATTGCAACAAACTGTCATAAATTTTTGTCATCATCTCTTTGAGATGACTCATCATAAATATCTATATAAAGAAAAAAATTAATTGCCAGCCAGCATTTTTACGTCAAATTGGTAGTTCTAACTGAAAATATGTAATAGAAAACTTATACTAAGTCCATTGTAAAGAAAGGAGAGCAACAGTTGAATAATTTTACCAATTTCAGGTAACAGATTACCTGCAATTAGGGTCGATGTAGCACTTCTATACTATATTTTATAGTCATAGACATTCAATTCAAGAATATATCACAAACAGCTTGTACAGATAAATTTCTTAATTTGTGATGTTACTAAAATTTATTCTCTATAATCATTTGAATGACACAGTCAAACGTTTAAAACTTATTTAAAAATAATCTTTCCAAATAAGTTGCTATAAAACTAGAGAGGGTCTACGCAACATCATTTAAACAACTCATACTTCAAATTACAACTGTACATGTTGATTGCTAACAATAGCTTTGAGTCAAATTACGAAACAGAAAATGCTTTTTCTGAAAAAGATTTTACATAAGCCTCATGTAACTTGTTAACAAAATCAGCATCATGTTTAAGAAGATAGTTGAAAGCTTGAAGTAATTGATTCCTAGTCAAAGGTTCAGGTGATGGCTGGACATCACCTCCCGAGGTAACGGTGAACATTGTTGGAGGCATCAGAGCTGGTTTCTGCTGAGCAGCTAAAGGATTACCCAATGGGAACATTCCCACTTCTTCAAATTTACCATTGTAAGAGCTTACCGGGTGACCAAGGTCCTGCGATTGATTCAAATATGATGCCAATGGTGAGGTCGGCTTGGGTGATGAAATGTGCATTAGATTCAGTTCACTCTCTAAAGGATTGGGACCATTAGCATCCACTGTGTCTAGCGGCATCTTTTGCATATTGGATATCCTTTGCTGGCCTTGTGAGTCAACTGGTGTGGATTTTAGTGGGAATCCACTATTCTGCCTCATTGCAGTGTCCAAAGGAATGCCACCATTAGCATTTTGACTCTCTTGGGGAGTGACTGACCTTTGTTGCTTCTCTATGTGTTCCACTGTATGTGCAGGGTTACTCATCAGCCTTTGCAGAAGCAACGGACCTTCGCGAGAATCGGACGGCCGCGGACCAAAAACGCCAGGTGACGGAAGGGAAGTCACTGCCGGCATTTGCGCAGCGGCGCCGCTACCAGCTTTAGCAAAAAAGTCCATTACGCTTTGCGACGTCATATCAGGAGCTCTAGACGGTGTCGATTCATTTTTGTTCGTTATACCTTTGTTAGATTTAAAATCATCTTGAGCTTTGCTCAGCATTGTAAATATATCAACTGGGGCACTAGAGTTAGTAGGTGGATTATATACAGGATTTTGAGACATATTTTCAACCGGTTTCATCGAATCTTTAACTATAGAATTCAACTTTGTGGCCACCCTAACACATTCGTCTTTATCGTAAAACCATATGCCGTAAATACGACACTTGGAGTTCCTATAAAGCAGGAAAGGCTCCTTTAATTGTAACTCTATTCCTTTCGATACTGGTTCAATTAAATTATTCGTATTCAATCTGTTCATAATTACCAAACTATGATACGGTTCACCATTTCTACTGTACACAAACAATGCGCCTTCGATGTTAGTTTTCTCCCATTCTTGTTCTTCGAATGTATACAGAGCAACGTGGGTAGCACTATCGATTATTTCCCGCGCATATGGATCTGCCCTCTTTAAAGCTGCAAAATTCATACGTAGTCCGGTGTCAGCCATTTTTTCGCAGCTAAAACTACTTTTTACACAACGAGCATCACAATAAAATGACAAGAAGCAAGAATAAGTTAATCGCCATATTTGTTAACGTTCCATTTTCTGTAGATAAAATAAAGAGTATATAAAAGATACAAACAAATGTAATAAAATTACTCAAAATTATAAGGTAGTTTGTAAATTAATTAATAGGTATATAATTTTAATACTCATGACTACAAGCGCCCTATTGTTTTATAACAAAGGTTTGTTCCGCAAAAAGGTAGGACAGTAGGTAGACAGGTAGTGTTAACAAACAAAAATCATGGATTCAATATGAATAAATATGTACACTGTGTACTGATATATTAGTCTTCTCGAGATATTTTAATAAATATTCATGAATTTGGAAACTTTTAAAGCCTCTAGCGCCTAAGTTGCGCATCTTTATATATTGATAATGTTTTGTGATTAGAAGAATTCTGAACTAAGCTACCTTTTGCAATATAGTGTAAGTTATTCTAGTTTAGATTAACCATATTACTATTGATAAAACAATAGTTTTTTTTTTTTAACATAGCCAAATACTGAAACAAATTGTAGGTACATTAGATTTTGCGGGCCTATTTTCAAGAACGGGATAGAAAACTTTTTGTTACAAAAAATTCTATACAAATACACATAAATAGTATTTTACACGTAAGCCTGTTATCAATAAAATTACTAAGTTGCGTCAGCAGTTAACTTTATTATCGTTATCATTCTCCTTTTGTTTGTTACTCTGTGGCAGTTGAGACCGAAAATCCAATGTATTCGGGTGACACATGGCACAAACATCAAACATTAAAGTTAAAGTGGCATTTAAAAGTTTTATGAACTTTTTTAACTTTATTTTTATTAATTTAGTTTATTAAGTTTATATTGTATGAGTATTACTTTTATATAAAAATATATTTTAAGTTTATGTGATTGAAACATTTTAACTACTGTTACTATAACTATTCAACGTGTTTAATTATTACAAAAAGTATTTAACATGCCTGAAGCAAAAGTTTTAGTTATTGGAAGTGGAGGACGAGAACACGCACTTTGTTGGAAATTAGCGGACTCTCCTTATGTAAAACAGATTTTCTGTGCACCCGGCAGTGTCGGCATTTCATCTGTAAACAAGGTTGAGAATCTCGATATTGACATCAAAGACTTTGCAGTAAGTTTCAATCAATTAATTAAAGTTATAATTCAAAATTATTAGAGTCCGCAACAGCATTAGCTACTGCACAAATGGCACCGTAGACCGGTGCAATACCACGACGGTAAAGTGAAGTGAAGTCGCGTTTTGTCTGATGAATGTGTGTACGGAGGTCCAAATTCTAATCCTCTTCCCACCCTTTTCCAATGAGATTTTAAGGGAAAGTGCATTTAACAGACTAGTTATTAGGGTACACCCCTTTCTCTCTTCACCAGGTAAGCTGTGTCTGCAACACTATTGTAATGCACTATTTTATTGTAATTATTCATAAACTTTGGCACCTTTACTCAAAGAAAATTATATCTTTGAAATATGGTAATTTTTGAAGAGAATAATATTTCATGGATTTCATATATTTTACATATTATTGAGATAAAATACTTAAGAGTTTGAAGCACATGTTAATTAAAGCCTGGTCGATTCATCACATGCAACCAGGAAAAGTTTTCACCTTTTCCATTACAACTGTTAACAAATCGTAAAACTAAATTACTCAATTTCAATCGTATTATTTATAAATTTAGATACTGGCAGCAATTTATTATTTCTATGAATTAATGAAAGCTATCACTGTGATAGCCTTTGACCTGCTTTTGTACAAATTCGTTGATTATGAACTTTTATCTTAAAATAATGGATCTGTAAACCATTGCTGTAGAGAGAAATTATTTATCTATATTTTGTATTATTAAAGAGAATATTGTTTTTTCTATTATAATTCAGAAACTACAATTTTTTTTAAAAACCATAACTAATAGATTTCGATCAGCAATTTCCTCGGCTGTAATTTATTTATTAAGAACTAAGTGACACAACAAAAGAACGAAATACGGAGTACAAGATAATTTCTTATTAAATAGGCATTTTTTAATTATCAGACTAGTATATAGTGCAATATAAATAATTTAAAATCAATCTATTTTTTTTCATATTTAAAATATCCAATTCTTATTTCTCAGGCAATAGGAAAATGGTGCAAAGAGAACTCTATAGATTTGGTTGTCATTGGTCCAGAAGACCCACTGGCCAATGGAATTGTAGATGCTCTCGCGCCATTGGGCATACAGTGCTTTGGCCCGAAGAAAGCTGGCGCAGAGATTGAAGCCAATAAGAGCTGGTCAAAGAAATTCATGATGAAGTACCAAATCCCAACTGCAAGGTTTCAGTCTTTCAGTGATGCTACTGCAGCTAAGGAGTTTATCAAGACGTAAGTTATTTTAGCAAGCTTTTTTTTAGTTAAACAAATGTTGAATGTAATTTGAAATGTAAACTTGTTTGTTTATACCATTTGGCATCGGTTATGGCAAATTTGATCACCCAAATTTTTTTGACATCATTTTAATTTTTGTATTAATTAAAGATTTGTTTAAACAGTATATTAATTTTTATAACATTTATTTGTATTTCTGATTAATAATATTTTTATTTTTTTTAATTCAACTGATACAAAAATCATGTAGTCTTAATTATTTTGAATTTGGTTTGTCATGAAGAACCGACACAAAGAAGATATATTCTTACATATAATTTATTCCTTGTAGTGCTCCATACCCAGCATTAGTGGTGAAGGCATCAGGCCTAGCAGCTGGCAAGGGTGTGGTCGTAGCCTCCAGTAAAGAGGAAGCCTGTCAAGCTGTGGATGAGATACTGACAGATGCTAAGTATGGCTCTGCAGGTCAGACAGTTGTGATTGAAGAACTTCTAGAAGGAGATGAAGTTTCCGTAAGTTATGTTACCTTATTTTGTGGTATTACTTGCAGCTTTTGGGTATAAAGTGGTACTATTTTTAATAGCCATATTGGTTTAATTTTGACTACTCTATGTTCTATTTTTCATCACATTTGAGTATATTTTTTAAATATGGTAGCTTTTATTATGTCACTTTAATTAGATATGGAAGTAGATGCTATCTTAGATTCGCTTTATGTATAATTGTCCAATATAACATATGTTTTACTGGTAAACATATTGCGTCATGTCACAATATCTGATTGTTATTACTAACTACGTTTACCTCAGTCTTACTATCAATGTTTTTACGCCACAACGAGTATCTTGGGGCAACGTTATCCGGGGGTCACGACGAACAAACAAACTATAGCTTGTCGCCACTGCCATTGGGGTCCTGGATAAGATTACGAATTAAAAAGCTATTTTTGGAAATTACTGCTAATTACTTTTTTACGTTGCCATGACAACTGATAATCTATCAATGGGTTTCTGAGACCTCTATGCCTTTCTGTCACCCGTGACAAAACAGAGATACCACTATGTTTTAAATGGGTTTTTTGGTCTTAGAAACCCACGATATGTGTTTTACAATACTGATATTATTTTTTACCTCCACATCAAGATGTTGGGGTTGAATAATAAATTATTTCAAATGTAACTTGTTCCAGGTGCTAGCTTTCACAGATGGTGAGACGGTATCGATGATGCCGCCAGCACAGGACCACAAACGCGTGGGAGAGGGCGACACTGGGCCCAATACGGGGGGCATGGGCGCTTACTGCCCTTGCCCGCTTATCACAAGGGACCAGCTCGCAGACGTGCAGGATCAAGTGTTGCAAAGAGCAGTTGATGGCCTCAAAGCTGAGGGCATCAAGTATGTTGGTAAGTATTTTGACCCGGTATTGATTAAGAACATAGTTGTAGATTGGATAAAGGACAATTTGCCGGACTTAAACACGTTAATTGGTTAAAGTGAGACCCTTACGATGTTTTTTCAATATTAATCGTGGGTTTTTGACACGAAAAACTTTGACAGATCAGAGATAACAAAATGTTTTAAACTGAGATTTTAAGTCTCAGAATCCCACGGTAAGTCACTAAATGGGACGCGATTAGCCGCTTAATAGACAAGGGATTTTTTAAGGTTAAGCCGTTTTTAATAAATTTTTTTATTCAAAGTAAATGGCATTGCCAAAAATCGGTTAAAAAGATTTATATGATTTAAATTTTTATGTAATATAAAACTTATTAAAAATAACTAAAAAAAAGTTTGGAGTTATATATTTTCACCACGAAATGCATCGGCAATGTCATTTGGCAATTCGTTATCGCATCGCAAAATATTCCGTTGTTTGTTAATTTTTGTAGCTCTTATTACGTTATTTATTATCTGAGCCGGCTAACAAAAGGTCAGCTGTTTGATTCGCAACCCTAGCGTTGTGTTGCTAACATACGTCTTATTTATATACTTGTTTATTTGTACGTAATTTTATTGATTCTTTCGTATTTGTATGTTTATTATAGAGATATCTAACCTTTAGGGCTCTGTTTTTTTATGTTTATTTCAATAATATGTTTGTCGTATCGTGTTTTTGTGTATAAGATTATTTTTAACAGAAAAAAAATCATAGACAAAATTATGTAACTTTGTTTACATTATTATAATTTTTATATATTTCCTGATAATAGAATGGTTAAATCGATAATGTATTTTTAGTCATTACCTTAAGAAATTTTCAAGAATATTCTATGCTTTACTTGGAGATTATTGTTTCCGGCATTACGATAGGTTGGGGCTCCGCCCAGGGCGCTGGGCAGGGCGACACAGACCTGGGCCGCGGACGAAAGCGAAAGCGTGCCCGTGGTCCCGTCCCGATGCGTTGGAGGAACAGAGGGGTTTAGTGGGTATGCCTCCGCTATGGAGGAGAATCCCACATAACTACCGCGTCCCCCCCGGGGCGCAGAGTATGCATAAAGCATTCCCCTCTGAAAAAAAAGGGCGACACAGATCTGCGAATTACATAGTCTTATATAACCCTGTTAATCCCCCCCAAGACATGGTAAAAAAAGAGCGCGATAAAAATCTCGCCCTGGACGCTTTAGAAATCTCGCCCAGGGCACCAGTAGATAGCTGGACGGGATTGGAGTCTCAATACAGTCT